TTTGAATGTAGCCAACAATAAAATTAGACAAGGTGAAGAGAAGAAATGAAGACAATACATACTTCGATGCTTCAGCGATGACTAAAGAACCAGAACAGATGACTAATCAACCGGAACAGCTGCTCTGAAGAGAAAGAAGAACTGCTTTGGACATTATTCCGACTTTGCATTAGATTGAATTGCATGCCTCAAGAACGGGACGAACTTTTTATTACACACAAATACTTTTTATTCATTTACAATCGACAATGAACAAGTCAAACATGATAAGAATTGAACAAGAACTTCCATAAAGCCGTTAAGAATCAAGTGAACAGCATTCAGAAAGATTAGATTTTGCAGACTGCCATTATTTTACAACCATTTTGAAAATTGCCATGGATTACATCTTCAAACTAGAAACTAGGTAAGTAGTAACTATTAACATCCCACACTGTTAAAAAAAGAACTTGCAATGAATTCATTAGTGTGTTATCAGTCCAGTCAAAAATGGCAGTACTTATACAAACTTCGAACTTTCTTAATTCACTTATCGAAATGAAAACTCACTTTCAAAAAAAAGTCACATTTATTGCCAACTTTTCTTAGTGAAAAATTTAGGAGTGGTTTGAAAACAATGTTGCACTACATTTAAATACAGAAAAAGTCTTTAGAGCATGACTTTTCCCTTCAAAGATAAATATTTGCTATTAATTATTGTTATATAAGTGATTCATATGAATTTTTGATCAATTCCTGTGATGTAGAGATGCCTCGTTGAGGATACATACCAGGCCAGCTGGTATTCCTTGCCATTTTTCCATTGATTCGTTTAGCAAATTCTAGTTCTTTTGGATTTCGGATTACCTTTTTCCACATTAAATAGCTCTCTTGATTTCTGTGGGCTTTTATGCTGTATCAGAGAAAAAACCAGAGGATGTCAGTCTAATCACAAAAGTTAGCTGAATACAGTAGCTGCTGCGACATAATTTAGTCACAAAACAAACGCATGGGAGATTATCACATCAAGCCGTCAAGTAGGAATCACGTTGTGAGACCATAATCTGACATCCAAAAGATGTCAACAATGAGCGCCATACTTAGCAATGACATGCGTAGCGATAAGGCTTTGAAAAACTTCTATGCCCTTCAAATAGTCACGTTGGCTTAGATCTGTCTCAAAAATAGACAAAAAAAAACATGTGCATTAACGTGAAAGGTTCATAGAAATTAGTATTCAAAAAATCGGTTGGAAAGATATACAAAGTGGCAAGACTTACGGTATGCACGGGAGAATATGAAGCCATCAATGTAATAGATTTTCAAAGGATTAAAAGGAAGCAAAAATTGTTCGAAGGAGATGTAATGTACATTGACACATTTTGGACCGAAAGTTCGCTCGCGGCGAAAAGGCATGCACTTCTGCGCGTTATTCACAAAATCACCTTATATCGCAACACTGCAATACCACCCGTAATTTGTGAAAAAAATTGCCGGCGGCACCTAACTCACGCGGCGCCGCCGCAGTTAGGCGGCAAGCGCCGCGTCGCGCGACAAAGTTAGGCGAAAAAGCGGCACTTGCCGCCTAACTTTTTTTTTAGAAAAAAGACCTTATCTTGATTCAGAATTTATGAATTTTATGTTTAAAAGTACCATTCAACTCAGCTCGGCGAGGCGCATCTTTCAGTAAACAGATGTGCCTAGTTATGGGATATAAGTTTTTTTCCTGAAATTTTAGTGTAAATAGATCATTCAGTGTGCTGATTCCAGAGGATACATACACATTCTGTTGAGCACTGCAGAAATAGGGCAGGTATAATTTAAGAGTTCATTCTGCATGGATATGTGTGAAACTGGGCTTTTCTCGGCGAAGTATGACGTGTCCCAAAATGTAGGAAGACAAAGGGAGATGGTTGGAAATCGCATGAGAAGCACATATCGCGGAATGCCGCGCGTGCTGTGCAATGTACAATACCACCCACAGAACGGGAAATCGCGAAATTCCAGAAATTTCGCGATTTTGGAATATCGCAAATTATGCAGCGCCATAATCTCCTTCGGAATGAATATATTCTAAATCCGAAAGCAGCATTGTGTTCAGCTCGTCAAGGCTTTCGACATGCGTCATGTCATCTATATCTTGTTTCCAGTTTTCTCAAATTTTTTTGAGGAGGTCCCTTTGCAAATGTAACGCAGCGCCTATCCAACATGAAAGCTTCCAGTAAGCACCATTCGATAGTGCTCTTTTTGTACATTATAGTGCGCTAGAAAGCTGCCGCGGACTTCTTTTCAAAAGAGAAAAAGGGTTGGTAAATTCTAAAAAAATCACTCGTTTCCAGATTCTAATCGCCGTAACTTTCTTTGAAGTGGATATTTAATCCGAAAAATGCATTGTGCTCAGCTCATCAAGGCAAATCTTTCGGTATGCGGAATGTCCTTGATATCTTGATTTCAGTTTTTCTCAAAACTTTCTGCGGACGTCTCTTCGCAAAAATGTGAAGCAGCGCGTATTGCCCCCAGTAGATTCAGAAAGAAATTTTCGATAGTACTTCTTCTGTAGATTATGGGGCGCTAGAAATTAGCCGCGGACTTCCTTCCAAAGGAGTTAGAAGGGCTGAATTCTGGAAAAATCATGTCGTGCTAAATTTTTTTCAACGTAACTCTAAAATATGAAGCTCTCTTGCTAAGCAGATGTGATTTTCGTAATCAGCAGGTCGGATAACCCTTATAAGCAAGTTTTCCGGGATGTTCGAGTAATTTCATTTTTTCTTGTTTTACGCTCTGAAGCTGGCCGATGGATTTTGGTCAAAACGTTCATGCTCTTCGATTGTAAGGAAACTTCGCTTATAGAGGTTTTCGTACACGCTCTTTACGAAAATCAAGGTCTTTGAGGAATACAGGGTCTTTTTGGTGAGATACGGTGAGGTGACTGTAACTGAATCACGAAAGTGCGTAACTCTGCCCGCACTTCTCGCGTATCTGTCAAAAAACTTGCTTACCTGCTTGTCCAAGTCAAAGTTAGTAAGGACTGTGCCATCGAATGGTGCATGCCTCAGACTCCACTCTACAGAAATCGCCTAGTTACGAGCCTACGAAACACATTAGCCTTGACGAGCTGAACATAATGCTGCTTTCGGATTTAGAATATATTCATTTCGAAGGAGGTTAAGGCGCTGCATAAGGTTAAGGCGCTGCATAATTTGCGATATTCCGGAATCGCGAAATTTCTGGAATTTCGCGATTTCCCGTTTTGTGGGTGGTATTGCACATTGCACAGCACGCGCGGCATTCCGCGATATGTGCTTCTCATGCGATTTCCAACCATTTCCCTTTGTCTTCCTGCATTTTGGGACCCGTCGTACTTCGCAGAAAAAAGCCCAGTTTCACACATATCCATGCAGAATGAACTCTTAAATTATACCTGCCCTATTTCTGCAGTGCTCAACAGAATGTGTAGGTAGCCTCTGGAATCAGCACACTGAATGATCCATTTACACTAAAATTCCAGGAAAAAACTCATATCCCACAACTAGGCACATCTGTTTACTGAAAGATGCGCCTCGCCGAGCTGAGTTGAATGGTACTTTTAAACATAAAATTCATAAATTTTGAATCAAGATAAGGTCTTTTTTCTAAAAAAAAAGTTAGGCGGCAAGTGCCGCTTTTTCGCCTAACTTTGTCGCGCGACGCGGCGCCTGCCGCCTAACTGCGGCGGCGACGCGTGAGTTAGGTGCCGCCGCCAATTTTTTTCACAGATTACGGGGGCATTGTACATCTGTGATCAGTAGGCCAATCGAGCTCCATCCAAAGTTCCGACTGAGTTTGAAATGTTCGAATTTGTTACCTGAGCAGGAATTCTGTGTTTTTTTTTGAAGATAGCAAAATCTCAATACCAGATAGTAAAGAATTCACCAATGTAAGAGGTATGCATCGGTACTAAAACCCGTTCTTCTCTCCTAAACCGAAGCAATTGAAAATTTCGACGTCGCACGCGTCGTTCGTGTTGCCGTCTACGTTGAAATTGCTGTTCAAGCACCCTTTGATTCAACTGGATCGCGGCTGGAAGGTGGGGCTTTGTGATCTAATTAAAGCTAGAGAATGATTATAGAGCGCGTTCGCGAGGCAGACGCAGATTGCGTCGCGGGTGCGAGCGGTCGCCTTAGCCGCCAATCTCGTTGAATTAATGGGTAGACATTGTAACTCCCGAAAGATATAAGCGGGACAGCTACATAAAGATATAGTGAAAGTACAAATCTAGATCTTTGGCTCTATTCTTTCTTTGGAGTATGGCAAAACTAATGTGGGAATCAAAAAGACCCTATAAGTCCGCGTGCTGTACTATGTGTAGCACCTGTCCAAAACGTTTAACAAATAATAGGATTCATGTTAAATATCATACAATTTTCGCCATCAAGCAAGGAATGAGGAAAGATAGGCTTAGCCATGTATAGGCATTATCGTTACTATAAGGCAAGATAAGAGAGCACCAGAAAATCGCTGAGAAGCGAAGACACAAAAATTTGCCTACAAAACTTGTATGGAGCACAATCTCTGTGTCTTATAACGTTCTGCCCTGCACCACTTTTTGTTGCTCCAGTTTTTTCTTAGCAAAAAGTCATCATAGGTCAAATGTTAAAGATTGTTTGCTTTGATGCACCTAATCCCAGTTATCGCGACAATATGTGATTAATATCTATGAGTGAATGCATTTTCTCCACTCACATGGTCAGAAAACTCTTGCTGTCAAGTTATCCAGTTGACATTCGCAAATGATAATGTTTATTGTCTAGAAAAGCTCTTATCTTAAGAAGCTTTTGATAAACGAGTGAAGAAAGCTATCCTCGAAAGGGACTACTTGTCATATTAATGTCTTACAGAAGGCTTAAAGTGTCTTTTCTGTTGCCTTTCGCGTCCTTAGTTATCTTAGTTTCTGGATTCTTCATCTTATCGGCTTATTGACCATTAAGCTTCTTAGATCTTAAATTTGCCAAAAATGTCCTCTATGTTTCTATTTTCTTTCCAGTGAGAGCTCTGTAGATCACTTTAGGTATGGATGGCCTTTTTTACCTCCTACAATGTCTTTTGATTGCAAATGTTTTTGCCAATAAGTGAGTTTATAAATTAACATGTTTTTGCGAAGGGCAAAACTTTCAAAATAAGATTTACCGATCCTCACACTTTGCCGGATCGCAAAGTGATGGTTCAACTTTTTGAATGGAAGTGGACTGATATAGCACAAGAATGTGAAAACTTTCTATGGAAGTACGGTTACGGTGCCGTACAGGTACGGTGATGCTAGGATAAAATTGCATATTATCTGCCTAAGAACCAAATTTAGGTATCACCGCCTAATGAACACATCACACTGGAATTAGACGGCAGCATGCCATGGTGGGTTAGGTAAGCCGTTGTTTGAGACATAAGCACATGAGTGCACAAAAGAATTGCAGATACCAACCAGTCAGTTACAAATTTGCATCACGCAGTGGGACCAATGACGAATTTGTAGATATGGTCAAAAGATGCAATAAAGTGGGAGTGAGGTAAGGATGAATCATCCCCTGGTAAAGTCGACCTGCACGAAATCGACCGGGTCGCGATAAGCTAAACGCACTCAAGTTGCCTACAACGCGGCAGCCAAGTACGGGCGCTACTACGATGACTCATGCGCGCGAATGCCAATGTTAGCCCGCAAGACACACGCTCTCGGGCGTTCAGCCCGGGCAACTGCGCTCAACTGTAGCATTTGGTAGTCCTCCATTTTCAATGGACGTTATGTCCAAGGGAGCTCGCCCCGCGGAAAAGTATTACGTACTGACCTTGTTGAGACGCATGGTAATAGCAAATATCCGCGCAAATAGACCTATTTGGCAACTTAAAATCCATGTAACCTTTATTTCTTAACTAATCGTCACCACTACTTCGCAAAGGCACTGACCTTTCTGGAATAATCAGTTTTACTTGGATGATCGTTATTGGATCAAAGCGAACATCACTTGATAAAAGACCAGTACATGTTCGTAAGTAAGGTTTAGTATAGCAGAACATCCTTTATGAAACCTGACAGAAGTTTAATACATCAACCAGTGCGTGTTACATTAGGCTCCAACATCTCTTATGCGTAAGCGTAACGTTGAACTTCAAAAGCGATCCTGGATGCTCCTAACAAAGGAAACCAATTTGGATGCTCCTAATAAGCTCCACGCACCTAGAGGTTCATGGAGCAGGCCCGTCAACGTACACTTCCTTTTTAAATGGGATACAAAAACAATCTCTTCGATTTCAAACAGATCAATTTAGCAAGACATGTCCACATTGCGAAAGTCCTGCGACACGTCTACGTGCAGTATAGCATGTGATTTGTCTGTTCTCTAATCATTGCTCTCCCTGGCTGACATGAACACAGACCCCTGGCGCCACCGATGCGCGGTGCTTATGTTTTGGATCGATTTCAATTTGTCCAGACTGTTTGGAAAGAGAGCGAAGAGCGCATAAGGTGCATATTGTAAAGAGCTGCCCGACCCACCGCCAAGCTAAACACCCTGGGAGGGTGGAATGACGAAGAGGAACGGGTGCTTGAGTTGCGAGTACTTTTTCCAGTTTAAAATTGTACCACTCCTAAATTGCAGGAGCAATGGGCGGAGCTTAATTAAGGCGCGCCAAGGATAGGGGACTGTATGTCACCATAAGTGGGAGGCCCAACGAGGAAATCCGCACCAACTGCGCAAATTTGTTGCATATATGCGAGATGTGCGCGCGTGATCGAGTTATGGTCCTCTACCCGCTCGATCCAAGTGCGTGTTTTGGGGACGGAAGTGAGGAATTGAGATTAAAGAACAGAGTCTGTCTAAACAAATGGAAAGAAATTCTAGGATTGCGTAAGGAAGTACTTCAGATCAGTAAATGTTATATCCTTAACGACGTATCAGTAATGGGGTTATCGAAGGAGAATAGATATCGTCCCGCAAGTTCGTAGCATTTTTATAAACTAACAAAATCATCAATTTACAGTAAAAACCAATGAAAATTATATTCCTCGTTGTAACGCACGACCTTTTGGCACATCCTTGTCAGATTCTCAATCTCAATCTTTTAAACGGCAGCGCGCTGGGTCACAAGAAAGCCATCTAACCAGCGTTGAAACTACTTACTGAAATCGAGATATGCACCATTCATGGTAATCTGATAGAGCGAGATTTGGAGGTACGTTAGGTATTAAAGTACCTTCCAGTCAAATTCTGCAGGACAGTTTCGACGACGTTTGCCGTACGAGGCCTTGTTTCGTCATGCAGAAAGACTCACAGGATCTGTCTATTAGGCTTTTTCTGCGGTAGGACCTGGTTTAGACGGAACAGTTGGATCGCTTACGATACGGTTGACCATCGCCCACCTTACAGCAATTTATAGTGCAGGACGTCCTGCCCGTCCCCCGAAAAGTCTTGTTGAGGGTGCTTTAAATTAAGGGAAAATGCGCAAATGCCGAAATTACTCCTTTTTGCTTTTCAAGATTTCCATCTTTGGAAGCTACGAGATCCGAGTGACTCAGACCGGAATTAGTAGACAGATTTTGAAGACCATAATCAGCACTCCCCAATTACACATGCATCTTGCCGCAAAATACCGCTCCTCAAAGATTTGAGAACGAAAATGAAAACGCTAGAACTAATGGAACTGCCTGTTACAATAATGTGAACGGTATACCAAACAACACTATCGTTTAATGTTTCATGCGAAATGTCGACATTTGCCCTACAACACGGCTCATCAGAAAGGCCTATAGGCTGTATCACTGCATAGCCATCGGAACTCGCGAAATGATGCTCTGCGTGGGGCATCATCTCGGGCGTTGCCGTATGCGGAGGGAATCAGTGCGGCTGACTGCGCCAAAACCAAGCGCCATACATTCGATAGTCTAGAGACAGGGCGTCAAAAGTGAAGGTTGTTTGAACATCGGCCCTCATAAAAAAGTGGAGGTTGTTTAAGAAGATCAGAGGAGAAAAGAATACGTAAAACGAATATAAAAATAATAACGAATAAAAAATAATAACGAATATAAAAAGCAAAAGAAACTGCTCAAAACCGGACAAAAACGCTGCAATGAGGCTTGCAATCTTTCATTTGGCGGCTTTTCAAAGTGCAAGTTTTCGCTTTCAGCAACACGGGGTTTTGATTTTTGATGCGTCCTTTGAATTTTTACCCCCTCATTGACGTTCCTGTTTCCTGGGACGTTGTCTGGATTGTTGCGCTTATTTTTCTGAGCAACAATCGCATAAGCTGGAAAAAAACCGATGCGAAAGCACTGAAACAGAACAAGGTAAAGAAAAACGCAATTTTTACGATTTTTCGCAAAAAATTCCAAATAATCGAAGAGATAAAGGCTGAGTGGTTGTCTGCATTATGAACAGAAGCAAGATCTATAGAATGCACAAAAAAAAACCGCGTGAAAATAGCTAAACTAGGAGAAAAACAAGAGATTTTCGAAAACAAGGTTTTTGCCGGATTTCTCGATCAAATCAAAAAAAGTGGTTCTGGGACGTTGTCAGCGTGAAAATAGAGATCAAGAGCTTCAAAATGATATATAGCTTGCTAGAAGTGGGTTCGAAACAGCGAAGAAAAGGTTACCAGAGCCAAATGCCCCGCGCCCCGCGTTTGGGGTAGCGAGTTAGCGCGCAGCGCGCGGAGACGCAGACGAGCAGCGGAGACAGACCAGAGCCGACGGGGCATTTGGCTCTGGTCTTAGATCTCGGGGTCTCAACGAAACCCCGCAACATTGTATACCATTCTGATCGCCATGAACGACAAGGAGAATTGACAACGTCCCAAGCTTTGAAAGTCACTCATTAATGAGATAGACCGGCGTTTTCGTGCGCGACTCTCTGCGCAAGATTCAAGCGTAGTTTCTCGTTCTTATTCAACTCCAATAGCTTTTCTAAACTTCCGACTCGAATTTGTTCAAATGAGAGATTAACTAAGAAATTTTGTTCTAAATTCTGGCGAAAATCCCACAGAAACCTTTTTCAAGCTAAAAAAGGCTATAAAAACGCAAATTCTCGGTTTCGCTGAGATAAGCTAAAGATATTATTCCCTATATTTGCTTCATTAACATTCGTTCCGATATAGCCACGATAATAACATCCAGGGCGAGGCCCCGAATGACTTCTGCTTTTTCCAGGTGAAGGTTGTGTCTCCTCATAGCCTTCAAAATGAAGGTTACCAGAGTACGTGGCTCTATGTATCGAGGGTATGCCAAGCGCGATCATCTATTCAGGCTGTTTTTCTTTTCGTCCGCTTTTCCCCGAGCATTTCCTGTCTTTCTGCGTGCTTGCACCAACTATGGTCATTTTAAATGGTGACGCGTCATTCGAAAGAGCATTAAGCGAGAAAACACATTGAGTCACGCCATCATTCATTCTTATAGTAGGAGACTGGAAACGCAGTGAGCACGTAAATTGCGTCGCATCACCTCATTTTATTACTTACCACTTCAGATGATTTGAACAAATGTTTAGGCATTCGAACGAATGTCTATAAAGAGTTTAGGGGGGCTAGCCTTGGAATGGGAGACACCAAATGGTTAACGCCAGAATCTGATTACTCAAATTTAGTTTGTTTGAACAACATCTGAGATTGATCATAGTCAGATAGAAAGTTTCAAATGGGGATTTGTGCACGTCATGCTATTTTGAAGCACAAAAAACATATTGGATTTATGTGCATACGATGGGAAATGTAAGAGTGTAAAACACGTAGATAGAGATGCTCCAAAAGAAACGTTGTCAGGCTACTTGCGCTTCGCTTAAGTAAAGCTTTCTTTGCCCGCAGCGAGTGCACGCAGCCTCTTTTTCATACGTTCGATGGTGGCTGACACAGCATATATGAGGAAGGGATGATGAATATTTGGGTTGTTTCACAAGTTCATAGCGATTCATTTCCGTGCTCAGCTCTGCAGAAGTTGATTTGCAGCCAAATACTTATACCATTGATAGAGCTCATTACGCTTTATGCAATGTACTTGTTGGTTTCGATGGAAAGCTAATTTATCCGATGTCTCAGCTTTGAAAAATGGAAACAAGGCATTAAAGGAGCACTTTCGAAACCTGTTATTGCTTATAAGCGAGCATTTTTTTTTGCACAAATTTATTACAGAAAAAATGACGTTCACGCGTCAATAAGGAAAATGTTAATTGGCTTGCTCCGAAAGCTCAAGAATTACTCAAACAAAGAGTCAAATTTTTTCGGGACTAGCAAAGGACGTTCCGCAGCAAGAGCAGTCGAACAACAATCGAACAACAACAAGGTCTATAATATCTGGACGCAAACTAACTGCACCGTATGAACGGGACCATACTGCAGCAAAGGCACAACAGACATATAAAGTAGATCAAGCATCAACTAAATTTTTCGCAAGCAAAACTGACCTCAAGCGGCAAACATCGTCACAACTGTGCTGCAAGTTTGTACTACAACTCGAGGATTTATGGGTTATAAGTAAAAATGAAGCCATTCTAAAACTAGAATGCACAACGACCTTAAATCGCACATG